TTATTACTGATTTCAATCAATTATTATTACTTAAATATATAGATAAATCTATTTTATTATATATCATTATAATTAATCAGAATCAATTTAAAATTAATTAAAATTAATTATTAAATATTTTTATCTTAATATATTTTAAAATTCTGTAAAATATCTCTTTATATTCTATATAAATTTATCTGTTTATTTAATTAATTATAAATCAGCTATACATACTTTAATTAATTAATAAACTAAGTGAGTAAGAATGAGTAAATTAAAAGATTAAAAGTCAATTATTAACTAATTATTACTGTATTATACAAGGTCAGAGTTATAATTATATAATAAGATTAAGTGATATACTTAGTAAGATTAAGTTTTTATTAAGAGTTCTGCAGTTAATCAGCTCTTCTATTAACAGTGTACTGATAATAATTAAGCTCTTTTATCTCAGTAGTCTATAGATTATAAGACTGTTAAGCATGAGTCTCACTATAATCAATATATATAAGTTCAATTTCAGAATGAACTTAAAAATTTCTAATAAATACTCTGAATATTTTAACAGTATTAAGAGATATTTTAGAAATATATTCTAGAAGTTCTATGAGTTCTAGAACTGACTAAGTTCACTATTAAAAAGAAGTCATTGTGAGGAAGTCACTGAAGAGAGTCACTGAGAGAAAGTACTGTACTCTGTGATAGCTGATCTGAGGGGGGGTGTTGAGGGTCCTGCAGTTGATCAGCCCTTCTACCAGCAGTGCACTGGTGGTGATTGAGCTCTTTTGCCCCAGTAGCCTACAGTTTTCTGTATACACCCGAGCAGGGGCTTTGGAGCATTTGACATAGCTGAGGTAAGCGCTCTATTGCCCAACTTATTTATGGGCTGGGGTGTTAGGTGACTGTTAGACACCTAGGTATCTTGCTACACAACTTTTACTAATTGCCCTACTGTATTGAAAGTTTTTTCCCCACAAGAAGATGATGCCTCCAGTCAATCAATCAGTTCTACAGCCTTCCCAACACCGATGGTACCTCGGATCGCGAATCGAGTGCGAACGAATCGAAACGCAGGCTCCGCCAGCAGGCGTCCTTGCAGCTTGGAGTGATGGAGACTGCTCATATATTTTGCGGAAAATATCAGCAGATATTGCACCACCTGAGTCTCAAGACCATGTTTCCAAGGATGTTCATCTGGTACATGAGGGTGGCAGCTCCTCAGCGGTGTGGGCTATTGGCAAAAGCGCCTTTTGCAAAGTCAAATACTGGCATCCTAGCTTGGGGCTTGAGGGGGACACCATCGCATTTGTTAGGGAACACATACCTCAAATCCTGGTACCGGAAGTTATTTATTCCTGGATTGATGAAGATCGGACATTCTTGATTCTCAAGAGAGTTCAAGGTGTGACATTGAGAGATGCATGGTTGTTGTTCTCTTCCTTGCAGCGTGACTTGATCCTCAAGGAAATTGCAAGCATCTGTGACCTACTTGCTTTGAAGACTTCAGCAAAACTTCAGAGTGTATCCGGAAAGGCCTTGCCTGAAAGGTTCCTTGCAGTTGCAAAAGATAGCTTTGTGGGACCTCTCACATTGACTGAGAGTAGAAAATATTTTACTGTCCTAGACTCAAACCTATGTCCCAAAATCGGAAAGCATTTTTATCTATACCATGCAGATCTTGGTCCGGGAAATATTATGGTGTCCAAAGATGGATCTATCACAGGGATTCTTGATTGGGAGGCTGCTGGTTTCTACCCTCACTTCTGGATTGCAACAAAACCGTCGGTTGCGCCTGGTCTCGACTTTTCCCCTCCCATCGCAGGAATCGAAGAATTCGAGTGGAGAAAACAGCTGAGGTTGGAGCTTGAGAATAGAGGATACCCTCAAGCTTCAGGCTGGTACATGGAGTGGAGGCGTGCTCGACCTAAAAAGTGAATATTCTCTACTGATCGATCTTTTGAGACATTCCCCCCCCTACGGGACCAGGAGTATACTTCTGAAGACATGGAATGAAGCCCGGCCGAGGACTTGAGCTATGTATGATAGAGTGACAGATAGCTAAGTGAAATTGAATATAAGAATAACCAAGCTTCAGCAGTAGGCATTAAGAGTTTGATTATGCACGAGCCTACGATAGGTCCTAAATACACATGTGGCAAATAATGCACTTACGAGAGGTCCCCATGGTGGGTTGCACGAAGACAGAAATGATGATTCTTCCATGCTAACTGAAAAAATATTGGAGACCCAGGCTAATGACTGTAACCCAAACCATTTCCTGACTTATTTGGGAGGGATCTTGAAAAGCAAATGAGCCTATTGCGCGGGTTAGTTGTCGGCGCTGTTCAACAATAATATTTAAATAAAAGCGTAGATTTGTTCTTTGATTCCGACCTTGGGGAGCTCTGCTCCGCAATACTCGCATGTGTCCGCCCCCGACACATTTCCTTTCTTGCACTTTGGGCAATCCATCTTTGCGCACAGGTTTGTTGATTGGATTTATCTAGAAGCAAATTATTTAGTCTTTCCACTGGTAAAACTTTTTGGATTGCAAGAAAAGGGGTTTTATACAGATGTTGCTTTGACTTTTCCACTGGCGTTTTGCTTGTAGGTCACTGAGTTGGATTTTGGATTGAAAGATATGAGTGGTGTAAATTGCTGGTTATATCCTGATGCTTATATAGCCCTGGCTTTATGGATTCAGAAGGACGGAAAAATGGATGAGGTTGGACCAACTATCTGATCGTGTCTCCTATGGCTTACATACCCCCTCGAGTTGATTAATACCCAACCTCATAAATACTTTCAGCCTGAACTCGGCATCTAACCATACGAGACTGGATTGATGCGGCATGCTTTCGTTCAGCTGGGAAATGGTCAGGCTGGCTCAAGTAATTTGTGATTTACGTCAAATCATTGGCGGCCTTGCTTGGTTTGGAATGGTTTCAGCTGCCGCCTTCATGGTGAGTCACAGCAGCACGACAAGCTAGCCATTTCTCCAGTGCATGCATGAGGGCCCGGCGGGGAGCCTGGAAATGGTGCCAAACACCATCAATATCCGTTGCAAGGCAAGAATTTCGCCATGTCCAAGCAACACCTGTTGGAAATTCTGAGAATCGAGTCACGAGGCACGAGCATTGTGTCGACATCCTGACAGGGTCGTATGGCCAATCGACTTTGAATTTAACTAGAGCCTCCGACCAGAAAGTGCAAGTGTGATATTCAGCTCTTCTAATTTCATTCCCATTTTGAGAGATATTCAAGTATACAGCTGTCTATCGTCGCTCAGCCACCATGTGCAAGGGATTAAACGCTTGTAGTAAGGCCTGAAATTGTTCGCCTCCTTGGCATGTCAACCAGCGCCATGTGCCAAGCAGGAATTTCCCTTGCTTTCAGCAAGTACTTTCCTAATACCGTGTAAGACATCCTCGATATTTCGGGAGATCAACTGGTCCACCTCCTGAAGAAAGGCGCCTCGATACTCATTTCTAAGTTTACAGACCCAGAACGATATCTTTGCGCTGGACTTTCTCATGTTGTAGGCCTTTCCTTGGATGGTTCGTATATGTTTTAAGTTTTGTGAGAATAAACAGAATCGCGCTGCTCAGCAGGTCTTCTCTCCTGAACCAGCTGCCGCCGGTTCTTGGCGGCTAAAGCTTAGGCTGCTGTTTGGGCCTCGATTCCTATTACGGATAGTCAGCATCTCGAGCTAAGACCCAAATCACTTCTCGCCGATCCATGTCTTATTCCTCTCAACATTGTTGACCTCATCCACTCGGAATCAAATGTCATTTATCGTCATTTCAGAGCATCACAGATGTGATTCCTGCCGCAAAATTTATAAACGCAAGCATACATGTTTTGGGCGTTCACATAGACGACCGAAAGGCCTCGTGCTTTTAAACCCAGGGTCAAAATTTGATGGTCAAAGTCATGGGGTGAACAGTAATTCTGCCTTCCTGTCCTTATTCAAACGCATACTAACGAATCTTTCAAGGTCAAAGGAGGCAAAATTTGTCGGGCAATAGAGTCAAACCGCAGCCAGATCTGGAAAGTTCAGACCGAATCTGGCCATGCGAAGGGTCAAAGACGCTGGCAAACGGCACGGCAGATTATCTCACACAACGTGTCCTGATGACTAGCCGAGTTGACTTTGACAATTTTCAGTTAGCGCCATCGAATGCTGCGTATTTGGACCTCAGCCAAGAGTGGAGTTGCGCGTCGGCCAAGCAACTTTTACAACTACGTGCTAGGGTCACCCATCGGCACAGCATTTTAATGCGGCTCAGCGGTGACATCAAGGGCTCCGAGAATACCATTAAATCATTCTTATCTAGCCTGAATGCCGGACCTACTTGCTCCGCTTTGTCCGAGGATCTTGCGGCTCTATATCTTTCACAGGCGATGAACCACATATACAACTTTAATTTTCATGAATCACATAGAGAAGTTAAGAAGTGGACGCCTAATGCATCAGGAGGGCAGGAGCGCCTGCTTTGGGACCTGATACTTTGTGTCGGCCGCATCATGCGAGGAGAAGGACGGTTCGAAGAGTCGAAGATTTGCTTTGACACTTGTCTTTCAACTCCGGGCCTGCGCGAATCTAAACGTCTCCTCGTTCGATCCGCTCTTGCCGATCTCTACTGTGAGCTGGACTATCTACAGATGGGGAAGCAGAACTTTTGTCTCTCTCAGGCAAATGCAATGGTGGAATTGGAAATTAAAAGATTAAGGCTATCGTCCGGTCAGCACCGCAAAGGATTTCGGCGCTTACTTCTTTCCCTAACGGAGGTTAGAATCAGGCAGGGACGGCACCGAGACGCTGACCTCTTGACCAGAGAGTTGATAATTATTTATGACAACATCAGGGAACCGGACATCGTGGACCGACTTGGCCATGTCCGGGCGCTCATTGCCTTTGCGCGTCTCGCTCCATCGCCCGAGGATGCATTGAAGAGGTGGAAAGATGTTCTACTCTGGAATAAATTCTACAATCCTTTAGAGGAAGAAGTTTTCACCTGCGGTGTGGTCTACCTATTTCTTTGCATTACATGGTACAAACTTGGTGATATTGACAAGAGCAAGCAATGCCTTCAAAACGCGGTGCAAGTGATTGAGCGGAAACAGCGTCAGTTTTTAATCCCGGGGATCGGGACCTATCTCTTTCATGATGTGTGTGATCAGGTATATTCTGAGATATGGCGGTTGGGAGATTCCACAGCAGCGTTGCACAGCCGACTCCAGCGATGTCTAGTCTACCCAACAGCCACCGCGCCAGTCGCAGTAAACAGGACCGGCTAACGACCTGGTACGTCTTCGCTCTCGGGTTTGACTGATGAACGAGATGTCGACCGACGGCGTTTGCCTGGCAGAATAAGAAGATATTCATGGCCATCCAGCAAGTCCCCCAGTGGCCACTGCCAGGTTTGCCGAACTATTTCCAACGCTTTTTGCGGTTATGTTGTCCTACGCCGGAGGGTCAATACAGCCATACGGCCGGGCGCAGCGTCACGCCATATCGGCCGGGAACGGGAAGGGGAAGGGGACCTACGGCTGGGACTTGTTTCTTTTCCCCTTCATAAACATCAGAGTCACCTCCATGACCAGAACGTGACGCCCTGGTTCCTCCGGATTGGGGATGACACGGAGCACCACGTCCCGGTACCGCAGAGCGTTGTTGGAGCCCCGAACGCAGCCGCTCTCGATGAGCGCTCCTGGACGAGAAGACGTGTAGGCGGCCATCAGCATCAGCAGCGGCAGCTGCACTGTATACCGCTCGTGTGGGACCGCCGACGTGTCCAAGCACCAGTGCTAGTGGAGGACGGACAGCAGATCCTCAACGCTGAGGGTGGGCTTGCATTCGACCGAGAGATCTAGGCTGTATTCATCCGTCAACGGTCCCAGGATAAACTACATGTGTGGTGAGTGCCAGTTAGATACGGGAACAGGAGGGCCAGGATGGTGTGGTGGGACTCACCTCACTGACCTGCTCCCCAACAATCTCATCCATTTTCTTTCCAGCGACTCTCTTGTAGAGCAATCGGAGGAATTTCCACTCCACCCAGATAGTGCTCTGCTTTGTGACGTTGAACTGGCTCAATCGCCAGTTGGCATAATGTCTAAAGTTCTCACCTGCACATGTGGTGAGATAGACATTGCTGTCCACGCCGTCGAAATTGGTCTAATGTCTCTTGTGTTTGCCTTCTTCCATTCACCATCTCGATGCTCAAACACGGAAGTCTTTTTCTGAATGGCCTTTAGATACTCGGTTCGACAATCACTGAAGAACTCTCCCAAAATTTCTGGAGATCGGCCGAAGCAGGAGACGGACACCTCTTCTCGCTCGCCGGAGCTGCTGTCTTTCTGTTCACACCGGAGCCGGAGCAGATGGTTCCCGTACCAAAAGAAAAACGAACCATTATAAGGTGAAAAACGTAAAGGATTTTTGGCATGCGCATTTGAATGGTCATCGGCATATCCAACGCTGACAATAGAGGAGCGAGCCTTGCGCGCGAATGGCTGGTCCGATACCCAGGTTTTAAGCATATCATGTGCTTCGTCGTAGTAAAGGACGTTTGTTATCGAAGCTTTCGATTGTCAGGAAAGAGCATCACTACAAGAAGGGTCACTAACTGAAATGGATCTCCACAATGTCCGTCAGGTAACGGTACACATATCTAGCCAAGAGCAGGAGCGCCCCGCAGAGGCACAGCAGGTGGGCGCTGTTCAGGTTCCCAGCTAGGACCTGTCGTATGGATGCGGAGATGGCGGTAAATCCGGGGAGGAAGATGTCCACAATGGAGATTTGAGATGGGAAAGTGTGAATTGGCAAAGAACCAGCACCGTTGAATATGTTCATTCTGGAATGGGTGGGGAGGCTGTGGGTGGATTCCTAAACAGATAGTATGTATGACGTGCGATGGTTTTGGAGCGATTGATACACCATAAGTGATCTTCTTGTTTGATAGAGAAATGCTGAAACCAGAGGGTTTTGTTTACGATCTACTGATAGCCAGGGAGAACTCCATTACCTCAGGATGCGGAATCTCGCCTGTTATATGCTGTTGTATTGGACCACGCACATCCATCCACCTAGTCGAGTCAAAAAGTTCCGTGCAACTTGAGAAGCCGGGATACGCCGTTCGTAGCAGCCTAGACCGCGCGAGGCATATTGTGCTGTACAATGTAAATATCCACTTTTGACCTCGTGGTACTGCTTTCATGGGGAATTGTCCAAGCACACAATGGGATTTTGCGAAGCTCTGATGCCAGGGATTCATTTTTGATATGGATGGACATTACTAAGTTTTCCCGCCTTGTTATGTGATATCGGTAATGCTCTTCTCTATGTTTTCATGCTCTTTTCTATATGGTGTATTTGCTCTTCCCCTCACTCTTTTGTCTCGGCTTTGTTTTCCTTCGAATAACCTTAACCAGTATATTGTTTCTACCCATGGAGAGGGATATATATACCTCTCCTTTTTGCATGTTTATATTTACATACTATGTAACTTAGCAGATCGGCAGGATGTTACTTTAACTCTAAGATCACACTAAATAGATTTATCTCTATTGAGGTTTCCGAGTTCAAATTGGGCGATTGTGTCATCATATGCCTTAATAATAGGATCGTATAAGACCTTTGTCATTGTAAGGAAAGAGTATGTCTCGTAGGGCCCCGCAAAGCGGTACAACACCACAGAACTTTGGAGGGAACTCCCTCAAGATGAATCCAAACCCCATGTATCTGCCAACCCCGGAGGGTGAGACGTAATGCTAATCCATGTACATGGGGACGCCACTGCTGCATGAGTTCTATTTTCAGACTTCGTCCTCGGATACTGTTGACTGCCCGCGGCCGTGCTTTCAATGCCTGGAGAGAAGCATCCCCGAGACGAGCACCGGAGCACACCGTGACTGGCCCCCCCATTTAATTGGTATAAACAGAGGGCTTCCCTTTCGCCTCCAGATCCCATCGTTCTTCTCACTCTGAAAGCATAAATCCGAGGCGTCCCCAGCCCTGGGTTTAGCAAAGTTGGGAGGAAACAATCCTGCATCATCAACGC